TGTGATTATAGCTTTATTATTATTAAAGTTACTAAAAACTCATGTAGAGTTCAGAATACTTCAGCTTTGTACCACGTACAGAAAATGATGATACATTCTTAATTTATAATTACAGAACCTAACACATCCTACTTTTTGCTATAGAAGTGTCAATGTAGGATAAAGAAGTACATTTTCATATGAGAAATAAAATTTAATGTTATTCCAAAAATTACATCTTAGAATATTCTACTTTATACTACTGATTATCTGTAGTAAGTACGAATGGAGGATTCTTTCCTTGCTAAAATAAAATATACAGATGATACACTAGAAGCGTTAATGATTAATTAAATCCTTATCCCACATTTGAATGATGTCTCATTTTTCCAAGTAACAGTAAAATATTTAAGTACAAACATGGTTCTGAATCTTTCATCTTACTGAACTATTTAGAAATGTTTCAATGAATTAAAAGGCACCTACATATTTGCTCTTGTGTATAGACACCTAAAATAAATTTTCACAAAATGGAATGGTCACTATATGCCAAATTAACTCATTTTAGAAACAAAATCTGTTTATAGAAACTATGCAACTGAGAATAACTTTATTCTGCTTCTAAGCAATAATTTTTTAACATGCAAGGCTTATTATTGTAAGGCATTCTGGGATAATGGGAATTAAAGGGAAGGAGAGAAACTAAACATTCAGCTATTTGACATGCATCTTCTCTAAGCTGAATTGTCTATAGAAGATACAGTTTGTCTTCTGATAGTTTTCCTCCCCATAATTTTCTAGTTACTGGGAATCTTAGAATGATATACTTCATATTCAATCTTATTAGGAAAAAAAAAAGGTAATCAGAACAAAGTGTGACCCAGGGAAATATAACAAATGATGAAGGCACTGGTGTTAGTCATTACATACTGTACCATGCAGTACAAGTGTTGAAAAAAAGAAACTGAAAGGTAGCATGATAAAACTCAATTTTTAAAGCACAAAACTTAAAAAAAAATTTTTTAATGTTTATTTATTTTTGAGACAGAGAGAGAGACAGAGCACGAGCTGGGGAGGGGCAGAGAGAGAGGGAGACACAGAATCTGAAACAGGCTCCAGGCTCTGAGCTGGCTGTCAGCACAGAGGCTGACGTGGGGCTCGAACCCATGAACCATGAGATCATGACCTAAGCTGAAGTCGGACACTTAACAGACAGAACCACCCAGGCGCCCATGAAGCACAAAACTTTTAGCCCTAATCTAGCACTAACTCCCTTCTGTAATAGACCTTAGCAAGTCTCAACTTTCTAGTCTTAGTTTGATTGAAAAAAAATCACTTCTCATGATTGGTTACAAACAGTATGACCGTAAATACATTAATTAATTAATCAGAACTTTTTTAGGGCTTTCTAGAAGAATATCCAAGTATGCTAATACTGATTTAATCATAATTCTTACTAATATTTTTTTAAGATAGTGGAATAAACTCTGGGAGTGATTATGGATGATCTTTCAAATTCTATAAGAATATACATAGAAAAGAATGACTGGCTCACAAGAAAGTAGAAAAATGAGACATTTGCATTAATTGCTAAATCACTTAACTTAGCAATTAGAATTAATGATTAATATTAATAAAAACAAGGGTGAGCTTTAGTAATAAAAAATTTAATATAGAGATATACTTAACTATGTATGGTATATAATTAAAGACAAGCTGAGATACCAGAGAATTATAGTATCACTATTATTATTTATTCTATTCTTTATAAGAAAACTATAATAGCAATATGGATTAAATGTATGACAATAATCTTAGGAGAAGTAAATCCAGGCTAGGATTGATAGAAACTTTTAAAAAAACACCAAAATGGAATGTCAGAGTTAAATAGAGCCAAAAATTATTTACTGTAATAATTTAGCTTTTATTCTGCCATATTTTACATTATATACCATTTTAGAGATTTTATTTACATTTTTATTGAAAAGATATATTTATGAGAAGGACAAAGCATTTGAGTCCGAATTATGGGTCACAAAAAAATACTACTGTTAGTATTGTCTGTCACATGTACAGTATTCAGTGGCTATAAGGTATTGTTCTCTCCTTCAGAGTGTTGTCTTGGGTGTATTAGCCTTTATCTCAAGTATTTGTAAGATATTATATGACAGTGGAGATATCTACTGCCTAGTTTTCAAAAATTTTAAACAAAAAAAACTTATCATAGCTATTCCCAAAGAGTTCGAGTTAAGAGAAGTCTATTAATTCAGAAAAAATGTGCCTACTTGCCAGATTACCTATGATGATACTCTAAGACTGATCATTTTCCTTGATAACTTAAATCAAATAATCAAGGCTCTATCACTTGGATCCAGCCAATAATTTATAATCCTGCTGACACATCCAACAAGGGGCAGAACAGTCAATGGAAAAGCTCCAAAGTCTCATAAAAAGAGTCTCAGAAACTTATACAATTGTATAAGAAACAAATTTTGAGAAGAATTTTTATTTTGCATTGGAGCCAGAATGATATTAAATCAACTGTAGTGTTAGTGTGACTTAAGTGTCCTCTACCCTGCCAATTTAATCTTTATTTCATAAATGTGAGCATGAAGCTGCAGCTAGAAAAGGAAGAAAGAGATAGGGAGAAAAGAGACAGAAACTAAAAAAGATGGAGATGAGAGGACAAACCAATCAGATTTGGAATTACCAGTCAGCAGAAGTTTAGGGGAAAAAAAATCACCGAGTGAAATCGTACATTTACTCTGAGAGAGTATCCTTTCACATTGCCTTCTAGGTGATCTCTGAGCTCCTCCAGCTTTCGATGGAGCTACATGTAAACATCAGAAAATGAATTGAAAAAGCAACTTGTTCTCTTTTCAGCTTTCCTTTTTCCTTTTAAAAATAAGATCACAGCATTATACATTTCTCACTGCCTTTGGCAAACATTTCAAAACATCAAAGATCTTTGTATAACACAAGAATACATGCTCAATAAACCTGGGACTGGGAAGCCAATGTTTTATTTTAATTACAGCATCTTTTCTCCCCAAAGTGTAAGAGAAAATAAATACTCTAACTATCCTTATAATCCCCTAGAGATTCACTTTAAAATTTTCTATTTGGTAGAAATATAGAGTAAAAACATTTAAAAGTTATGAAATTTGCCTTTCTTTCCCAAACACACTTTTTGATTTAAAGTAAGTTGATTGAATCCTAACATGTATATTTTTTCTTATACATATATATGTGTATATACATAATCATACTGTATATACATTGAAAAATAATAAACACAGAATTATAACTTGAAGTTCTATACAGCCAAAAGTTGAATTTAGAGATAATTGAACACACACACACTTGTACACACAATCCAGTTTATAGCAGATGTTGCTGCACTTACGGATGCCATTTTATCTTTATTTCACTATCGATAATTTCTATAAAGTTACATCACACTGCACTTTTTCACTTTAACCTGATTTATAATCCATAGGCTAAACAATAATGGACTTATCTTCCCTGAAAGAAAAAGATAAAATATGATACCTCACAATAGACAGTGAGGAATGCTACTGATATATCATTGGGATGCATAAAATTATATTTTTCTGACTGAATAATTTTAACTTGCCTTGATTTTGAAACAGGAATACAATCAACACTTCCCATCCCCTCTCATTATCCTTAGTGAAAAAAACAAAACAAAATAAAAAAACAAAAACAAAAAAACCAAACAGAATAAACCACTACCCAGTATACAGCAGTGTTAGAGAACAGAGAAGATGGCTTGTCTGGAATAAAGGACACAAACATACAAACACACCTTCATCCATGTGCACTCATGTATGTGCACACACGCAAATAAATAAACGACAACAAAAAAAGTAAAATTAAGAAGGCAGAAGAGGCAAGGAGAAGAAGGAGTGCAGAAAAATTAGTGCTTCATTAACTGGTAAGTGGAAATGAATAGGAAGTGTATAAATTTTGAATTGATTTAATATTAGTCCTCAAGGTAGTTAATGGAAGTTTGAAATATCCAGATGCAGTGAACTATCGATCATTTTGATTAACAGATAGTAATGCTGTTAGGACAAATGGGACTAAGAGATACAAGTAATGGTTAATTTGGTAGGGAAATTCCTCTGTACATTTTTAAAATTCAGCAAATTTTCTAACTTGTATTTATAGTGGCAGCATTAAAAGTGATCAATGACTATGTTTCTAAAGGATGCTAACTGGCTTACCTTTTCATTGTGATTGAATGTTAGAGTATCAAGTGCCCAAGATATATTGACCAAATAGTATTTAACAACTAGCAATGGGACCATCAGATCAGATATCTTTAAGCTGTGTATTAGGAGGTTACATACACAAATGGGCAAACATTTGGATATATGTTTCCATTGATTGTTACATAAATTATTAATTAAAAAAACAAAGGGGATTAAGTATTTAAATACTATTACCTATGTGTGAGCCCATTATACCAGCATCATATAAAATTCCTTTTCTAATTCTTAAGATTCATTATATATAACACATGTTACTATTTCATAATAGTTATTTTTCTGGAATGAACTATAAATGGTAATGACACTAACATAAAATTTAGTTACTTTTTAGAAAAAAAGCAAAAAGGGAAGATAATATTCTAAAAATAAATATTAGTTCTCTGTGTAACAGGAACTTAACACATAGTCAGTGACATCAATCAGAGGAACGGTTTACTCTAGAACCCCAAATTATAGGCACCTGTAATGAGACAGTTGCCCTTTCTCTTGTTTGTGGTGCCATTCAAAGCTAGTTATTTGGCAGCTTGCCTTCAGCTGGTTGCTCTATGTGCAGCTGAAACAAACAAAAAAAATATGACCCAACAGCCAATAAAAATATTAAAATAAAAAATGGGATGGTGAAAAATGGAAAAAGCCCCCTTCCTCCCACCACCCTCCAAAAAGGAAGAAGTGTAGGCTAATAGACGAAATCTTGCCAAAAAAAAATGTTAGAAACATATTTACTTTGAGGGATCCAACTCTACTAGCAACTCCTTTGCTTTCATCCGGCCGTCTAATTTGCTACAATGAGGGAAGATGGGTAAAAAAGACAGAATAAAGAAAAAGTGAACTTAAAAATTTTTCTACACATTAGTAAATACATGCAAAACATCAACCGACTCTTATGAGGTAACTCTTAGGATGCCAAGGAGTTAACTAACCCAGAGCCTATATGACATGCTCTGCAAATAGGCTGGTTACTAGAATTCAGTCTTGATTATAGCACTGTTCCTGAGATTAGGAAATGGGCACTTACTTTTGGTTATCTTGGGGACTTCTGATGTAGCAGTATCTGGAGTAGTGTTAACATTTGCATTTGGTTTATGAAAAACAAAGAATTACAAATATACCTATGCAGAGAACTTTGTCTCTTTAAGGGTTATAGTGTTTATCCCACTGTTATATCAGAAACATCAATGGTATGACTAGAAACATGAGTGTTCCCTAACTGGAAATATCAGTTCTAACAAGCATCATTCTTGATAGGTGACAGAGTGACGCTCCTCTGCTTGCTGACCGAAGTGCTGAGGTTGTTCAGCTGTCACTAAGATTCCCAATTGAATAATTGTGCTGCCCAACCAGAAAATTTTAATGCCAGACCAATGTTAAATACATTTGCTTCCTCAAAACTTTTGTTATTTCAGTTAAATTTTCCTGTTGGGTAAGATAGGGAAAACTAAAACTGCCATTTTAAAAACTGGTTTCATCTCACTATATAAATGAGAAAAGATTCTCAACACAAAGTATTTCATTTGATGAGGTACAATTTGAAATTTTTTTTTGTTTTTTCATAGAGCTGTAACAAGAACTAATATCTGTTTAGAGAGGAACACAAATAAAAAAAGTAGGGAAGAAGGATGAGGAAGCTTCAGACCAAGTGTTTTTACACTATGGGATCCTACACGTGCAGAATGATGGTCTCCATTCAGACCAGCATAGGTCAAGTTAGCTGTGATGCTCCTGTTTGTGTGAGTGTGTGTTGTGTGTTTGTTTTTTGTTTTTGGAGATGGTAGAGGAAGCATCAATGTGATGCCAGGTTCCAAGTGTTAAAGTCCTCAGGAAAAATAAAACGGACCATGCTACAAAATTGTATTTCCTGGAGTCAGCCTGTAGATTATCTTATCCCTTTTGGAACACCACTGATAGCATATGTAGCCTGCTTAGGAATAACAGTGAGAAAATGTAATTTTCATTTTGAAAAAAAGCATCTTGGTACATAAGAATTATGTTAACTTTTGGTTTTACTTGATATAGTTTTTACTAATTCTTCAGCATTAACTAAATATTATACACAAAAGATAATCACCAATGCTCATTTTTGGTCAAACAGAATTCTTAAAATTAGAAACAATGAATACTAATTAGAATGGGAACACTGTAAAAGAGGGCTTCTGAATGGGCAGGGTGCTTATAATATCTAGTCCTTCTCTTGTGCTATTTTCTTTGATCTTAGAGAATATCTTTATACCAAAAGCTGTTTGCCATTTTAAGTGGAGACTCACAATATCTTGATTATAAACTAGGTAATTTCCTGTAAAAACATAAAGTCTAATGCCCCATATTGCTTTCTGAAAACTTTTAGCAGCTGTGAAGACTTTCAGAATTGTTACCTGTAACAAGTGAATACCATTTTCTATACTGTGTTTTATTTCTAGAAGGCTTAAAATTACATCAATTCTGGCAACATGAGGTATCTTCTTCAAGGTTATATGTTAACAACAACTCTAGGAGCAACATCCACAGTTCCTGACTTCTAGTTTAAAGTTGTATTCCCTCTATAGGCCTGGAAATAAAAGGGTTTGAAAAAAATTGATGCTTATAAGAAGATGTATTTGTATATATATGCCTTTGTCTTGTGTGTGTTTCTGTCTCTCCATCGATGAAAGAAATTTTATGTTACTGTATTTATTTATGGAAGAAAATTTTCCTCAACCTTTCAGTTCCAAATGCAAGTGCAATTACTGAAATTTAATGAGTTATAAGAAAGAATAGCCATCCATGAACTCCAAATGTAAAAAATAGGCTATAATACAAATTTAATAAAAGATTTTTGGGAGCAGACAGCTCAACTGTTAATGCTTGAAATCAATTTTCTGTATAAGTCTGACTTTGGAAACTTAGACTATCATAAGAGGAAGACTTTAGAAAACCAATATGGTTATTATCAAAGCCAGAGTGGTTGTAATTCAAGTATAAATCAAGTGATTTTTTTTTTTTTTGGTGGCTCCTGAACCAGGTATAATAGCTAATACTGAAAACCTTCAGACAGAATTTGAAAAAGATATGTCTGATAAACTAAAATTTGAGAACTAGAGAAAAGTCACATCAATGGGTTTTAAAATTTAATACTCTCATTTATTCTAGTAAACCCTTAATCATCAATTATGATGTAGTATAAATAAAATAAATTAATAGCTAATCCAAATGCCTGATTATTATTTTTCTTTCATAATAATTTATAAGTAATCACAAAAGATTAGCATTTGGATGAGAAAATAACTTTACTCTTCACAATAATTGTAAGAGCCTCACATCATTAGCTAATTTTACATATATTTGCCTATGAGGCTAAACATTTTGCATCAGTAACTAACAGGAGTTAAACTGCAAATATTTATATTACATATAGGATCACTGCAACATAAATTAAATTTCAGAATTGGATGTAAAGAACTGTGGGGATTATGAATGTTGAGATTATTAGTGTACATTTGTTGAAAATTAAAATGTAGTAAAACAAAAAATGTTATCCCTAATAATTTTTCTACCCTGAAGAAAAACCTTTTTATAAACATTTCATTGAGATTTCAAAAGATATAAATCAGAGGGTCAAAAACATTTCAATTTTCAATTGAGCTCTCAGCTAGAATATATTTAACAAAATATCTATTAAAAATAGTCTGAAAATATTGCAATGTATCATCTCTTTTGCAACCTTCCATTAAGCTTTCCTTAGAGATTAATTACTGAGGAATCTATCCACAAGGATCGATTACCAGAATGTGGCCTGTAAAGCAGTGAAATGATTCTGCTATTTGTATTTACCTTTTTTATAAGAATTTGAATTCTAGAAATATCATGCAATAAAAGAAACTGTCTGGATGCTAATAGAGTACGGGGTTGTTGACTCTCTTTGATTTAGTCCAATTCTCCAAACCTGAGTTCCACTGTAAAATTATTTCCACTGTTAACAAGGTAGAAAATTACCCCATTCTTCCTTTACCTCTCTTGCCAATAATAAGTAGTTGTAAATGTTATATTTGTATTAAAGCAAACATATAGATTTTGGCATAGAAACCCAACTTCATATTCATTTTTAAAATAAAATATAAAATGAAAGAAGTTTTAGGATTGTAAAAACCAGATTAAGTTATGTGCCTGTATCCCGGGGTGTCTGTATTTACACATCTCTTTGTGAAAAAATCTGAGAAAAGATTGTATATTTTCTGTGTTTGAACTCACATTTAGAGAGGTTATGGGCTTTCTGGAGACATAAATTAAAAAAAAGCTCAGCTACTTTGAAATTCTTTCTAAGGTCTTTTCATTGAACTTAGACTCTCATTTATGGAATGTCTAATGTAGATCTTCCCTCTTTTTCTCATGATATATATTGATTTGAATTAAATTGCATAGATTAAACACATTCCTTTTTTTTTTTTTAACAGGAATTGAACTGGTGTATTTTAAGAATTACCTAATTTACATTCAGAACTATTCTGAGAAACAAATATTTCTAACCCTATTTTTTTTTCCAGGTTCTCATTTTATTTTATTTTATTTTATTTTTTTACAAATAGTTTATTGTCAAATTAGTTTCTACATAACACTCAGTGCTCATCCCCAAAGTGCCCTCCTCCATGCCCATCCCTCCCTCCCCCCCACATCCATCAGTCCTCAGTTTTTGTCAGCATTCAAGAGTCTCTCATGGTTTGCCTCTCTCCCTATTTTATTATGCTACTTTTTTAAAGTATGGGTATCATTGAAAGGAAATAAAACTTTTATCTTAGAAATTGTTTATCTTCCAACCAAACCACTCAGTATATATTGGAACAGTTATAGATTGTTTCTGGTAGTTATGATTTGGAAATTTTTAAAAATGTTTTACTCTAGAGCTAAAATTTAAACATACTCTTAAAATAAATACTTTTTGGGATCTGGTTAATATTTCAATCTACTATATTTCAGCTCTGTTGTTTCATCATTAAACAATTTGATTTCATATGTGATTTATTGCAGTAAAGTAAAAAAGAGGGAAGAAAGAAATGCAAGTAAGATAAGTTATATGTCAAGGAAAAAGAAATACTCTAATGCATTTCTGAAGAAAAGCAATCTGATTATAAAGTAAACCAATAAAACGTGGCAAAGGTTAATGAAACAACGAGAAGTAAAAAAATCAGAATCTTGGTAGCAGACACAGATCCACCAACATCTTCCCTAAAAAGAATTTTATCCTTAGGAGATTCTTTATTTTCAAGGATCTGATTTCTCATAGTATATTAACATTTGAAATTATTCATTTATAGTTTATTATGGATTTAAATTTTGATCTTTAAGTTTCTATAATAGCTTTGATCCCAAAACAAACTACAAATTTTTAGACTTTTAAGCAACTTATTCCCTGCCAGAGCATAATGCAATTCATGATTTTTTTTCCAAAATTTTTTTATCTCTCTGAAAAGAAATTATAAAGCCCATCAATGATGTGATAAGAGTTACTATGCACTTTGAAATAACTTAAATAGTACAGTGTATGTTATTAAGGATTATTTATTATTATATATGAAACAGAAAAAAATTTATTTTCAAACTTCCACTGAAATATGATACAATTTTCTACCCAGCAAGATTAAGGATATTAAGGACAGAATGGCTTAGCCTAGATATAAAAATGCTCTGGTATAAACAAATAAATAGTTGGCTTTATGAATATTTGTTATAAATCTGAAAGTAAGCAAGACATCTCTCTCATTACCAGATTCTATTTAAATAACAAAACAAATATTTTTTATTTTTCTGGTTTA